CTGAAAGGAGGTTGTAGTCAGGTGGCGATTGGTCTCTTCTCCCAGGCAACTTGCAGTAGGACAAGGGGGGACAGACTCAAGCTCTGCCAGGGGAGGTTTAGGTATTAGGTATTAGGAAGAGATTTTTTACAGAGAGACTAGTCAGGCATTGGAATGGGCTGCCTGGGGAGGTGGTGGATTCACCATCCCTGGAGGTTTTCAGGATGAGACTGGATGTGGCACTTAGCGCCATGGTCTAGTAGCCATGGTAGGGTTGGATTCGATGATCTTTGAGGTCTCTTCCAACCTGGTTGATTCTATGACACTGACCTGAAGCTTTGAATTTTGGGAATGACGCTCAGAGCCTGATGGTGCCCTTCCTCATTATGGGAAGACCTCAAACATGAGAAAAATGGTGTGGTTCTGCTAACTATGGCTGGGGTCAGGCTGCAAGGGCCTGGGCGTCTTGGATCCCCTTTGCAAGGCTGGAGACTTCTGATGTGGGAAGAGGGAGAGGTTCCTTATAGATGTGATGCAGAAGCAACAGAAACCAGGTCATTCTGTGCAGCTTGGTAACCAAATGGCAGTAACAAAAAGTGATAAACTTAATACACCATCCAAGAGCTGATAGGCCTTTACTACTTATGAGTCATGTCTGTTCTTAGTATGGCCAAAAGCCCTTGCTGTGTGAAGTTTGGAATCTGGGTCTGTAGTCTTCACATTAAATATGCTGGAAAGGCTGTTACTTGCCCACCCTCCCAAAAAAAAAAAGTCAGTGCTTGTATAACTGCTCAAAGTTTTGAAATAAATTTTGTTTATGAAGTAAAACTTGTTTAATGAGGCAGAAAAAGTACTAATGTAGTAGTTCTGCTTTCTTCGACTGCGTTATGTACTTACCTTCCTGCATATGTGCTCAGAAAAAGATCTGGATGGATTGTTTTGGGCCACTGGCATGAAAACCAGTAAAATAATATTTCTGCAGAATTTAGCCTCTTGTGGTTTAACTTCTGCAGCTTTGCACTGATTAAAATAGAGGTGTGATTTTAATGGAAATATTTTATAGGAGTTCTGGCCCAGAATCTTTTCAAGATGAGGAGTTTAAATTTAGGTATAAATTCAAACACAATGCCTCCTTTTCCATGTGTAACATATATATTTTGCACAGCTAAAAACTGAATAATATTTGAAGGAACATAATTTGAGGTGTGTAATACTTGAAAATGTTGTCTGCAGTATTTTTTTCCTGGTGATCACATATAGAGTCAATGATATCTACATGAATTGCGTAAGTTATTTACTTATTTGAATCAGTTTTAAATATCAACTGTAGTCTGCTTTAGTGCATGCAAGGAACATGATCAGAGTTGAACAGCATCAGACCAAAGATAATCTAGCCTGTATATTTAACTAATGTGCATCTTTACCACCTACAATTTCCTCTGAAAGAGTTTCACCTTGTTTTTTTAAGCCTGGCTCCTTTATCTGATGCTCCCTTATTTTTCTTTTGAGGAAAGCCCCATCCATCTTCTCAATATCACTTGTGATATTTACAGACCTTTGTCAGGCTGTTACTCTGCTCTGATCACCCCTCTGCAAGACTGCTCAGTTCTACCTTACTGAGTGGAGAATCCACAGCCTCCACAGTTGTACTCTTGTTGGGAATAATTTAGGTGCAGCTCGTTGTGCTTTAGTAAAGAAAACTACTACTGATCTCTGAATCACATTTTGGCCATATTCTGAGTGACTTTCTGCTACTCCAGGTGGAAAGCAAAGGTGACTCTTTGTTCTTGTCATTACTAATTTTTCATTTTATTAACCTGTTTTCTTACATGAAGGTGTTGCATCTTCTCCTGAATGTGTGTATGCAGCCACATACTTAGTTTCTTTTACTTTCTAGGAACGTTCTCCATATGCTGCACATCTCTATGATGCAGAAAACCTTTGGGCACCTCTAAGAAACCTCCCAGGACTCTGTTTTGATTACTGCTCCAAGTTTCATTTCAGCTGCCACTCTGCCATCAGCCTGTTGACAAGTGATAAGCACATCCAAGGATGCTGCGAGACAAACACATTTTTGCAACCTCCTTCACCTCCACAATGAGGGCTGTTGCTTCCCCAATGTGCTGAAGAACATGGCCTTCAACTGCAACCTGGACTCGGTGGTGGAGGATCGCAAGGGCTGTGTCTAGGTTTGCTTGACTGAGGTGGCCAATGGCCTGCAGAACTCAGAGCTCATGGTGCATGCCAGTGACCATACCCACTGCCTGTTCGTAGCTGAGCAGGTGGGCGTCATCTGGGTCTACCTACCCAATGTCAGCCAGCTGGATGAGCCTTTCCTGGATATTAAAAGTATGGTGCTGGCTATTCATGGCTAGGAGATGAGAGAGGCTTTCTGGGGATGGCTTTCCACCCCAAGTAGAATTACAATGGGAAGTTTTATATCTATTACATGTACATGGATAAGAACCGAGTGGAAAAGATAAGGATCAGTGAATTGAAGGTTTTGGCATCTGATGCCAACAAAGCTGATCCGTACTCTGAAAGGTAAAGTTCATGTTGAATGCTACTGTATGCCATGATGAGCAATCATTTTTCTCTGCACTGGTATTAATACAGGCTGGGGGATGAACAGATCAGCCCCATTGAGGAGGACTTGGGGGTGCTGGTGGATGAGCAGCTGGACATGAGCCAGCAATGTGTGCTTGTAGCCCAGAAAGCCAAACATCCTGGGCTGCATCTGAAGCAGTGTGGCCAGCAGGTCAAGGGAGGTGATTCTGCCCCTTTACTCTGCTCTCATGAGACCATACCTGGAGTGTTGCATCCAGCTTTGGGATCTCCAGCACAGGAAGGTCATCAGCTTGTTGGAGTGAGTTCTGAGAAGGGCCACCAAGATGATTAGAGGGATGGAGCACCTTCTATTAAGAAAGGCTGAGAGAACTGGGATTGTTCAGTCTGGAAAAGAGAAAGCTTCTGGGTGATCTAATTGCAGCCTTCCAATACCTGAAGGAAGCCTACAAGAAAGATGGTGAGACCATGTACAAGAGAATGTAGTGATAGGACAAGGGGGAATGGCTTCAAATTGAGAGTAGGTTCAAATTGAGAGATATTGGGAAGAAATTCCTTACTATGAGGGTGGTGAGGCACTGGAAAAGGTTGCCCAGAGAAGCTGTAGATACCCCATCCCTGGAAGTGTTCAAAGCCAGGTTGGATGGGGCTATGAAAAAACTTATCTAGTGGAAGGGGGGTTGGAACTAGATGATCTTTAAAGTTCCTTCCAACCCAAACCATTCTAAGATTTTTTCCTGTTGCAGAACCTGCATGTTCCCAGTCACCCTGGTTCATGTGTGTGACTGGCCTGCTATGGAGCTACCAGAGACAGGTTGGCTCAAGGTCACACAGCAAACCAAAACGGAATTGAAAAGAGGACCCAGGAACTAGGCTTCCTGGTCATTATCTCTCTCCATCTTGTACTCTTGTCTTCTAAAGAGCAGTACCAGCCTTAAACCTATTATGGAATTAATACCTGCCCTAAGTGGTTTGTACCTTAGGATAAGAGGGATACTTCAGTACTGTACACTCATTTTTTTCTGTCATGTGTGTGTGTACCTGCCTTGTTCTCTGCTAAGAAAAATGCAAATTCTCAGTTATGAAGGAGAATTTGTTAATAGCACACCTATGGTGATTGTGAAACTCTAAAGAAAATAAGATGCTTCTGAAGCCCTCAAATTCACCAACTGTTTCTTATAGGAAAGACCAACTGCTTATTTTCTTATAAGAAAGCAGAAGCCACCTGTCACAACCAAAGTTAAAAGGGCAGTAAGTGTCCCCTGCAGAGGAACATATTCTGTATTTGCTGTTATGTTTCCAGGCACTCCTGTGCCTGTGGTGATGGATGAGCTCTGAAGCACAGGAGATGCTAATGCAGTGTAGGCCATAGCTGCAGTGCTGTATGGCTCATGGGAAACATTTCCCTGAGCAATGCCACACCAAAAGGAGATCTGCTGTATGGCAGGAAGGTGGTCTGATGCTGCAGGCTCACACAAAATGAGATGCCACTCAGCATTGTATTTGACGAATCTGGCATGTCTGTACCGCTGGGAACTCCTGCTTTCTTTTGCAGGAATGGTGATGCAATATTTCTGCAGCTTCCCAAATGTTCAGTCCTTCCCAGTTGCTACATCTGGACTTTACCTGTTTTGGAGGGTTTTTTAAATTCTTTTAAAGGAATCTTCTAGAGCTTGAGGAACCAGCTGCAAATCATAACGGTGGGCAGCTGCTCTTCAGTGTGAATGGCTATACGTATCTATTCACAGGGGATGGAGGGAAAGCTGGAGACCCTTTTGGAAAATTTGGGAAAGCTCAAAATAAGTAAGTAGAAAGGCTGGTGAAAACCTTGAGCTTATTCACTGAGATAAAGGGTTTGGAAATGAGACTGTGGAAAAATAAAGTTAAGAGTGTTTTCCTGAAAGTGCTCATGTATCTGCAAGTCTGTCCAATGCAGTATTTCAAATGTAAAAGTTTTACATTTTGAAAGCCAAGTTGTTTAGAGAGGAAAGAGTCTTCTGACTTCAGCAGGCTGCAAGACATACCACAATGGGTTTGTTTCTTTTGGACAGATAACTTTTCCTTTGGAAAAGGGGAAGAGGAAAACAATTCTTGTGTTTTCAGCTCAGTCTCATGCTGGGGTTTCTTCTTCTGTTCTTTTTAGGAGTACTTTGTTGGGGAAAGTCTTGAGGATTGATGTGGATGGAAAAAGCCCTGATGGAAAGCCTTACCGCATTTCTCCTGATAATCCATTTGTGTTTGATCGCAAAGCCTGCCCTGAGGTTTATGCTTACAGGGTCAGGAATTTGTGGTGCTGTGCAGTTGACAGAGGGGACCCCTATCATAAAAAAGAGAAGAGGGAGAATATTCTGTGGGGATGCTGGGCAGAACAGGTTTGAAGAAATCAATCTGATTGTTAAAGGAGGGAACTACGGCTGGAGAGCAAAGGAGGGTTTTGACTGCTATGACACAAAGCTTTATCACAATTCTTCTTTGGGTAAAGAGACGTTTCTTATAGAAGATGACTTTATTACATGTGTATATTTAGTGGACTACAGCACCATTTTTCCAGTGAAGCTAACCCTAATCCCACATTATGTGTTAAATGGAAATTGTTGACTTCATAAGAGCAGAAATCCCTTTTCCTCATACCTATAATGTTGGTATGAAATTATGCTCTGCTTATTCAGGGAATTCCCTGCCACACACTGCACCCAACAAGGTGTTTTAAGTTCAAAGCATGTGTCTTTTGTAGACAGAGTTTTCCCAAAGAAGTCAGGAATGCAATGGATTTGGTTTAAGAGATAACTGTATTTTCTTCAGAAGCTCTGAGCCATGACTATGGCAAAGGAGGGTAGACCAGGCTGACACTGAGATCCTGAAACAAATCCTGGGGCAGAGGCAGTGTCCTAGCAAGCAGAGTGCCTGTAGCAGAGCACCCAAAAACTGTGCTCTGGGTCTGACTGTGGGTGTGATGGACTAACTTACTTGCCGCCTTTGAAAAAGAGTATAAATTGGTGGTCTTTGTAAAGCTCTTTTCAAAGCCTGGTAGAAGAACTGGGTATTATTATAATGTTCCTTAATCCATGAGATGGATTAAGGAAACCAGATGAGCTTGAAACCAGATGAATCCATCTGGTTTCAAGCTCATGTAGATGTTTCTGAAACATTTGTATGAGCTGGCAAGTGCAGAGTATGCAGTATCAACAGTTCTTCTCTGCTATGCCAGTACCCACGTGACTCCCAGGGGTTTTTTTGATTGGTTGTTGTTTTTTTAATGGCCCAATCCTCCATTAACAACAAAACTGAATAGGATTTTGCTGTTAATCTATGTTTTTTAATGAATTTCATTTGTGATCTTTGTGAGCTACTTGATTCAGAGGTAAAAAAGTGAGGACAAGACTGAAATTTTTTGGGATCTGATAATTCAATATGAGAAAGGGCTGAATTAAATTTTAACATTACCAGAGGCAAAGTCTTTATTTAATAAGTTTCATGACATAAAATGAAGGTAGCCAACTTATCCAGGATCTGTGCTAAGAATGCCAGTGAATCTATGAAGATGCTGAGTTAACTTCTAATAGTTTAATCTTATTCCCTTCTCTAAAAACACTAAATTTGATAAAGATGATCCCTGCTAAAACGATTGATAATACTTGCTGCAGGCTGATACCTTTCTGCATTGCTTGCTTGATATAGAGAATCTTGGTTCTATATGCTATGGAAGCTCATCACAACTAGGCCTTGACAAGCAACTACGCAGAGAGCTCCTTAAAGTCTCTGGGTCTGTTCTACAGACTAACAACTTGTGCTTTCCCTGGAATGATCAGTTCGTACAGCAAATTCATCATCTCATTTGCTGAGGATGAAGCAGGTAGGTATTGTGCTAGCTACACCTTCTATGGAAACTGTACTGTCAATTCTCTGTTGGTGGGAAAAGGTAAAATTATGTGGCTCCTCACATGTTACAGGAGAGCAGGCACTACAAACAGATTTATGGCTGTCTCAGTACAGCAGGTAGGGTTAGTTTGTGGTTCAGAGAGGTCTCCTGCCCTGTGAGGCTATTGCAGATCAGCTTGATGAAGAGCTCAGGAGACAGATCCTCATGTGAACTTGCAGTCTGAACACTCCAGGTTCTCTAAGGAGTTGGAACTCCTGTTTGTTGCAGCCTTTCCCTGTCCTTTTGTTGTTGTTTTTTTTCTGTGCTATTTCATTAATCAAAAGACCATATCAATGCAGTTCAGTTCTTCATTGTAACAGGTCATCCTTACTTGAGTTCTTACAGCTCATCTGAAATTCCCCTGCTTCCTTAGTATAAATTCCTCAGTCTTATTCACAGCAACATCACTTCACACCAAGGCTTCATTTGGGGATCAGGAAAGCCACTAATTTTAAAATTTAGTGTAAAGGCCTCAGCACATGGCATTATTACTAAGGTCAGGATGATCAGATCTTTCACCAAGGTGGAAGTACCAACGCATAATTTGTCCACTTTTCTACAGCCTCCTGACACAGAGCTATGTAATACAAAAAGCAGCTGCAAGTTTTTGGAGAACACAGGTGTGCTTTAGTGAGATTTGATGCCTCACCATTCACCAGAAAAGAGATTTGCTTCCAATGAAAAGATCCTAGATCATTTGGCTTGCATGTTCTGTTAAATCTGCATGGAGATGAAGGCTATGAAATGTGTAAAATTTTTAAGTGTTCTAACAACATGTGAAATGAGTGGATGTTAAATGTCTTCTCCTGATGGTTCTTTCAGAAACCAACATGGTGTTGTTATGTAATTTGAAAGTCAAGAACAGTTTTGCCTCTTGCAAGATACTGTAATTTCCCTGGATATTGTTCTAGTGGGAGCTGAAGGGAAGGCACAAGGAGTAGCTGTCTTCCAGCTAGCTGGAGACCTCCTTTGTCCTTGGCCTGAGAAACTCCAAAAGAGTACGAAGTCTTTTACTTTTGACTTCCCTCAATATTTGCTGCTCTTGGTATGTACAGAAAAAAGAACCTCCTGTCTTCCATGGAGTAGCCAATTTAGACCTTGTTGGATTTTTTTTTTTTTAGTGTAACTATGAGATGGCTAAATATCTCTTGTGTAGTCTTCCCTTCTATTTGTAACTTTTGGCTGCTTCTTTGTTACAAACAAGTTTTAAAAAATACACATTTATACAGAGGAAAGTAACCTTAAGAAGAGCCACAGCCATGAGGTAATGAAGGTCCTGCTCAGGCACTCTGCCTGATCAAGAGCTGCTGGTGCTCTGTGGGACCCTGCTGCAGCCAAGAGATCTTCTGGTGTCCCTGGGAGTCTACCTGCACAGACCAGAGTGAGACCTAAGCCCACTTCTTGGAAGTAAGGCATGACTGAAAGGGTTTTCATTTCTGACCTCGGGAATTAGTGAAAGGCCAGGAAAGAGAGGGAAATGGAGAACTGCGATTCAGCTTGGGCACTTGAATCTGAGACCAGTTTTCTTTATTCACTTCCATTTAGTTGAGCTGTGTTTTATGTCTACTTCTTATCCCAGTGCTTATGCACCACATGGATTACTCTACAAGTTTATTGATCCTGCAAGGTTTGTAATTAAAAATGTTTTTCCATGCTAAATTCTTCTATAATGACTATATGCTCTCCAGCTATCACAGTAAAACAATATTAAGTACTACTGATACATAATCTCACTGACCTGCACATCCAGTCTTTGTATTTTGTTCACCCATTGTACTTGTGGTGCAACTTTAAGCAGTTTTAGCAACTTTATTCCTCACTCATGATATCTATGCACGCAGAAATAGATGGAGTTCAGATATCTTGAAGTTCTGAGACAATAAGGATCAAAAGAATATCTCCTTGGTTACATGCCTGTTACATACAAAATGACAGTCCATATCCTTTGGGGTCATTAAATCAAATATCTACAATGCACGCTAATATAAATAAATAAATCACAGTCCACTGCTCAGTTTTCTTCATGAAGATCAGTGAAACCTGGTGGTTCATGCAGTGTTCAAATAATAACTAGAGCCTGAACATGAGTTTTTCCAAGCAAAATGTTTTTCTCCATTAAGCAGTTATCCCTGCTAAAGTCTGGGTATACAATAATAAGCATGCTTACGCAGTTTTTTCTTCTCTCAAGCTCTTGGATCTTGCTAAAAAGCATTAAATAAGTTTCAAATCACCCTGTAAAGTAGTGAATGCGTGCTGTTGCTGAAATCTTGGACATTAACAAAACTGAGAAAACAAGTTATTTTCCTTGTGAAATTAAATCCAAAGCTAGGTAACTCAAGCTCTGTACCAAGGTGATAGGAATAAACACTTGAGACTTTTACTTGCTGTAACTGCTTGAAGAGTCTCTTGCCTTTAACAGTTTATCACCTGCCAGCAAGTTTTTGAACTGCATTCACTGGTGCTGACCAAAATGTAATATTTTCAACTAAAACATATATTTGTGAGCTGCATAAACATCAAGAGATTGAGCATGCTCTATTTCATAAAACAAAGCTCTCTATGCCACTCTTTAATGCACCAAGAAGACCCTACGCTTTTGAAGCTTCATGTCTATCACTTCTAGAGCAGGACCAGGCACTTACTCCCTTGGCCCTTTGGAATTTATTCTTGTATTTTCCAATACCCTTTGTTTACCTTAGCCCGGATGCTGCTCTGTCAGCTTTGCCCTTCTCTGTTTGCTTAAGCACTTTGCAGGCTTGTCCAGGGTTTGCAAAGCACTGACTGCTTCTCTGGAGCCTGAGTGTGCTTTGCTCTGGAGCAGAGAGTCCTAAGACCTCCAGCTCCTGGGTTGTACTCTGGCCTTCTCCTGATTGTATCATGAGCAGAGATTTTTCTCCTTTCTCCTTTATATTTTAATGCTGTTTATAAGATTCTTCTGTTTCTGTCTCACTGGGATGACTGGCTCCTCTGATGGGTGCAGTCCAGGTGTGTCCAGCCCAGGCACCCCCTGCCTTCTGCCCACATGTCAGCAAGAAAGCAGGCTGGCAAGGGCAGCAAGTCACACTTGCCTACTTTCAAAACATTGCCAGGGCTACTGCCACCTACCTGATGGCAACTCAGACTTCCCTAGGAACCTGCCAGGAAAACTGATGGCAGCAGTGCCATTTATCCCCACTTCAGCTTGCCTCTCTGTTGGGGCCTGGCTAGCTGAGGAGCTGTAACTTGAGCAACAGTTAAAGGAATGCTTAAGCAATTAAAATCAAGACACACAAAGTAGGTCTTGCTGACCTTGTTTCTATCTTCACACATTCCTGTGTCCTCAATCCAACACTTTATAATGGTCTTGTTTTCTCCTGCTGCCAGGGTTTCTAAGTTTGGTTTAGTTTTACTGTCTTATGGATAAGTCGTTTTGCTAACAAGCTAGAATAGTGCTAGTATTTAGATTCTCATATACACTATGTAATGCTTGCTATCAGTTTCCCAGGATGTGAGAGCGGGATGCAGCTTAAAATTGTAACCTATCATAAGTAAGAATTTTATGCTTTGACAAGCAGAGCAACCAATCCAAAGTTGTGTGATCAGCGTGTAGCTGCATGTACATGAGGCTTTATACTATAAATACTGTTAGGTGCCCTAAATAAAGTTGGCTATCATATTAGTGTGCTGTAGTCCGTCCCTCGCAAGGACCCCAACACCTCTCCAGCAGTCAGTACTCTTGGAGACACCAGAGTGGCTACCAGGATTGGAACCAAATTCCTTCAGTCATGAGGGAAAATGAGTTACAAAGTTATTTAGAGAGGAGGGGGAAAAAACTCACACCAGGAAAATCTCCACAAGCAATGCCAACAATGCTGCTTTAGTAAATTTTTTCTTTAATTGAAATAGTATGGAGGAAGTACTGGGCTCTTGTCACACTCTGAAAGAGAATACTAATCACTAGAAAATGTGATGCCTTAGGTCATGCTTTGCTTTGCTCTGTGCTGTCAAGCATCCCTAATTGGAAGAACCTGTTCCTATTTGTGCTACACCAATTCCCTTGGTGGGTAACAGAAAACACAGGTGTGTTGCACTTCTTGTACCTCCCTTCCTGTCATTTAACATGTGACAGCTTTACACTGGGGAAGATGTGCTGCTTTTTTTTTTTTTTGTGCTTTTGTACTGTGGGAATTTGTCAGGGAATGTCAAGAGAGGAACATGGGCACATTTTCTTTGTAACTGGTGCTCCCTTTCTCTTTGCCTGCTTCTTTCCTTTCCCACCTCTTTTGCTGCAGCACTATGTTTTGTCTGAATCAGCCCCTTTTGAAGGTCGCGCTAATGTTTGTGAGACTGTGTGGGAATATTCTGCTGCATTTACAGAGATCCTTATGCTGCACCATGAGTGAGTGCAGAGCACTGTCACTGACAAGCCTTATGTGCATGAATGAGATTCCCTCACTTCAAGGTGGGATGCACAAGCCAGTATTGGTGAGGACAACCCAAAGTGACCGATCATCTGAAGTTCAACCAACGCACCCACCAGGCTTCTAGAAACAGTGTTGTGCTGTGCCTGCAGCAGCAGGACACGTTGCTGAACACACCTCATCAGCACCCTTGAATTCAGTGATGGGCAGCAAGTTGACGCAGGCAGGCCAGCGTCCCACACACAGACAAACCAGCTATTGGTGCTGGACAAAGACAGTCTAGACTGTCTGATGGCAGAAATTTGACCAGAAGGGTGGTAATAAGAGAAGCTGCAGCCTTCCAGCTGCTCTTGGGACAGGGATGTTATGGCTTGCAGCCCTGTGTTAGGCTCTTGAATTCCACCTGTGTTGCACTCAGGTGCCAAAATGCTTTGATGTGTCTTCCAGCAGAGGCAAATGACAACAGAGGATTGACATGTGCCTACAGAATAAATAAACATCCCTTCTATAATCTCTCAGACATCTGCATATGGCTTTCTGTTTTCCAAGGAGTGCACCACCAGGGAAGCATAAATACAAGCCTGTTCCGGTGAAAACAAAGAGCAAGCGGATACCATTTGTTCCATGTGCAAGTAAGTTGCTCATCTTTGATTTTACTGTGAAGCAAAACATATAACCATCTTATAGTGAGGTGATAGGAATCTTTAGCAGTCTTAAAACCTAAAGCACTGAGCAGGAGAAATCTTGAAGTTCGGTTGCCACATTTGACATGTGCTTCTGCTGTCTACTAGATGCCATGCCTTAATCCCAGGCTCTGATTTTTTTCCTAAGTGTTGCCAAGTAATAGTGTAAATGGGAATCACAAGGGAACTGATGGCTTTGATTCGGGTACTGGATTAGGTCTGGGAAATTCTGAGCACCTATCCCTGGCTCTGTCACAAGCTTCTTTAATCAAATAATCCACTCAGATAATACATCTAGGGGAGTCAATCTTCCTTCCTCCTGGGCCCCTTCCATCTCACCCGACTAGGGCGGGAGTTACATCTTGAGGAGAAACAGCGTTTAGCGAGTTCAGGTTATCTTGTCTGTGATTTCCAGATATTAGTGTAATATGAAAAGTTAATATTGTTAAGTCTGACAAACAAGTGTGCAGGGTTTCATCATACTCTGTCTAAAAGTAATTTTCCTTAAATATGTATTCATAATTTCTAAAGTTAAACATTTTATTTCCAAGAAACCCAAGGGTCTTTTTATGGAAGAAGAGAGGTTTATAGCGTGCATTGCCTTTTTCAGAATGTCAGCTATCTTTCTTAACTGTAGCTCTAATAAGGGCTTCTATCAAGCATCTCTATGAATTAGCCTTTTGCCTTAAAGCAGGGATGCTGAACCATGTTAATTATTTTCTTCAGAGACTGTCCTTGAGCTGTTTAATGAAATTTCAAAAACCAAACCTTGGAAAAAATCTTCTACCCTCACTGCAGCCATCCCAACAGTTTCTTCTAAGAAAGCAAAAAAGACCTCATCTACCAAAATAAAAGTATCAAGGGTGTCACCAGCTCTGTCTGGTAAAGAGAGACAGAGAGTTAAAGCTGAGGCTAATCATGACAAGCCAAGGCAGGGAGAGAAGGTTGCACACATCTCTAGAAGTACTCCAGTACCACCTTTGCCAAAGAAGAAGAGCTCCCACCTAGCCAGAACCAAGAAGGTTCTTCCAAAGAAAGCAGCACTAGCTAAGGGAAAACTGGAGAAGAGGAGGAAGAAGCAGCTTTTAAAGCTCAGTGATTTACCAGAAAAAGCAAGTCCCTTTTAAGATGATTAAACAAATGTCTTTAATAGTGACCAAATAAAAGAGAATTTGGCTGACTTATTATGCCAGTGCTCCCAGGTGTGCTTTCATTAATGACAGTGTGTACTGGTTTGAAAGCAAACCAGTGAAAGACTCCAAGTCAGAAATACAATTTAATAAGGAAAACAAAACAAAACAAAAAAAGCAACAGTACAAAAAGAAACCACTGACAGAGTCAGAAAGCAACCTGACACCCTGTCAGGTGTTGGTAGTAGTCCGATTAAATGGTTGCTGCAGTCCTCCTGGAGTGATGGTTCTATTGGAGCAGTGATTCTGTAGATCTGGTCTTCACCTGAAGGCTCAGTGGTAGCTCTTGTCCTCTGGGAATCCAGTAGATAAGGGCTCCCTGTGCTGTCCAAACCCCAGATTACATCCAGGTGGGAATGCTTGGCTCCCCCCCTTGGGGTGAAGCGTCTCACAATGGGACTATGTAATTCTATGGGTCATTCGGTGGGTCCTTGACAGCCCATTAAACAGAGACAGCCCCCTGAGGGTGTTATCAGGGATGAGTCATGCTAGAAAATAATGAGCACTGCCCCACCTGCTTTAACAGCTTGTGAAGATGATAATAGAATACATGTTATTGGTTACATCTTACATTGTAACCTAGGACACAGTGTTAGCAGTCTGTATATATGTTTTATTAATTCTAAGAAGCATCAGCCTCCTATCATTAACCTTCTTTGCAAATCCTGATGTGGTGTCCTTTTCTGACATAGGTGGTTGTGAGAGTCTCTGATGCACATTCACTGGTAAGACTGCATGTGACTGTCTAATAAATCCAAGTGCCTTTAAATTTCAGGATTTTAATCTTTCATCAAAGAACGTAGAGTAGACATGTCAGTGACCTCACCTTTCTCTTTTATTGTCCTTTAGCTGAAATGCAGTGAAAAGTATATTTCAAGATAGCTGTCTTTCAGACAATGATATTAGGTGCTTTTTTAGATTTGTTTTTTAAGAGAAGGGCTGCTAAGATGCTCAGAGGGCTGGAGCACCTCTCCTGTGAAGACAGGCTGAGAGAGTTGGGGTTGTTCAGCCTGGGGAAGTGAAGGCTCTGGGGAGACCTTCTAGCATCTTCCGTTCCATAAAGGAGGCCAGAGAGCTGGGGAGGGTTTTTTTGCAAGAGCATGTGCAACAAGACAAGGGGCCATGGCTGCAGACCAGCAGAAAGCAGGTTTAGATTCGGTATTAGGAAGAAATCCTTTCCTCTGAGGGTGGTGAGGCCCTGGCACAGGTTGCTCAGAGAAGCTGTGGATGGCCCATCACTGGAAGTGTTCAAGGTCAGGTTGGATGGGGCTGTAAACAACTTGGTCCAGTGGAAGGTGTCCCTGCCAATGACAGGGGGGTGGAACTTGATGACTTTTAAGGACCCTTCCAAACAGCATTCCGTGAATATTTTTTCAAAGTACAGATCACCTGCAGGTTCCAAAGAATCTAGGCAGGGCTGGAAATGTTCAGCAAATCTTAAACACAAAATCAAAACAACAGAAGCCAAACAACCCTCAAAAATCCCAGTTAGAGCTGAGCAATGGGATGGAACCATCCCGTGGCTTCAGACCACTCACAGTGAACCCGGGCAGTAACAACCCTCGAATGTTGTGTTCCAGAGAAGAAGTGCGTTTATTTGCAGCGGAGCCAGGGTCGGTCTGAGACTTCGTCCGTAGTCTCGGAGGCAGCCGAGGCCACGGCGTCATTTTGCAGTATCAGCGTTTGGCTCCTGCCTCCACCCTCTGGAGGCACCGTGTCGGGGTGCAAAAACAGCACCCTGCTGTCCCCGCTGCCCGCTCTCCCCGAAACCCGCGGTTTGCTCAGGAGAAAGGCAAAAATAACAATAAAGAAAAAAAGAAAACCTTTGAGGAGGCCCCAGCGAGGATCGAACTCGCGACCCCTGGTTTACAAGAC